ACATTCTCATAAAAATAGAATCAACATTAAAACCACAGAACTTCTGATAAAAATACATTCTTGGTGGACCTTCTTACAAAGTGAGTTTGCATGGGGGTCAAAGGTCAGTTTGTCATCAATAACAGTTTCCAGATGTTTATATTGATGCACCACCTCAACATCTTCACCATTAGTGACCACAGGAGCTGCAACTGAAGAGTCTTTTCTGAAATCAAAGACCAGCTCCTTTGTCTTAGAAACATTTAACTTTAAAAAAGGAAGACTCATCGTTCAGTGACGTCCCCGACCACAGTCTGGATCTTCACTGCTGAGAAGGATGACAGGGTCATCAGCAAACTTTAATATGCAATTCTAATATGTGGGCATCCACTAAATGTAAACAAAGGGATTTCTCTGCATATTTTGATAAAAGAGACGGGTGTTGATATCTAGCTGTATTTCATAATTGTCAAACTTTTCCATCCAAACAGCTCCTCCCCATTCTTGACATATTTTCAGTCCGTCCGGCAGTTTCTGTAGATCCACAGACACATGTGGTGTTGGCACAACTATTACTTACAAATGTTTGAATTAATTGTTTTATTAACTTTCACTATGCAGATCAAAATGTGTGGATTTTTTTCTAACTGTATTTTTACTTCTTTTAGCATTCTTTATGACACTGCCATGAATACCTTTAATTTATATGCACGAACGTTATAGAGCAACAGAAACATACATAAAATTCACAAATCACTCGTTTGTTTCAAAGATGGAGACACCACACTGTAAAATAAGTGTTTTCCTTTAACCTCCCGGGGCCTGGATGGTTGGTTTATCCATTACGGAGTTTGGCAGTACAACAGTTCAGCACCAGAACAAATATTTACAGATACACCATTAAAGGCCAATCTCACAGAAACCTGATCCACAAAACACAGAAACATCCAACTATGATGGTGTTTACCATGAGGTGGCATAAATCTTGTGCAACTTTCCCAAAATTTGTTTAAATAAATTACTTTTTCACCACTTTATGGGGACGTGCTCTGGTTAAACGGTCAAAAACTAAAACTATTAGAACTTTTTTTTAAAACCATGGTCTTTCTTCAACTTTAACGTAAGATTACTCCACAACTAAACCTTAATGCTGAAGACTAACAAATGACAGAGTTGTTGTAATTTATTGAATAATTTAAATATACTGTAATTGACAACCCTGAAATCCAAATAGCAAATGTAAAGATCGTTAGGAGATCCTGAAAGTGATTTTAAAAAGTCACTCGTCCATTGTTTTGTGACGAGAAACAAGATGTTTTGGAGATTAAGCCAGATGAAGACACCAGGGCAGAGGTAGATTAAAATTAAGCTAAATATTCTAATCTAGGGAAACCTTTTAAAGTGCACATATGTGTATCTACAATCTAATGCTGCACCAGGATTTTTGTAATTCCAGAAAGAAAAAGAGAAACCTGACAAAATCACTTGAGGTGCACTCGCAGCGTCAATAAGACGTCACATGAGCAAAGAAAGAAAAAGTCTGCAGATCTGGATTTGACTTGAACTTCTGCGCAAGATGCTTCTGCAGACATTGTGGAGCAGTTGCAAGTGATTGACACACATCGTTGTTCCAAAAAGAAAGCTGTCAGCTCTGAAAACAAGGGTTACATAACTCCTTTGGATGCAGCTGATACTGGAGAATGTGAAAACTGTAAATGACGGAAAACCTTTTGTTTGAATCGTTTTACATCAAATGATGATGGTGGTCACTCAGTTATGATCAGTTCAGATCAGCATCCACACCTAAACCTGTACTGGGACCACATTTAGCAAGAAGATCTTTATCTTTGTTAATCGTGCAGTGTGCACAACAGAACTGTGCACACTGATAACTTTTGCTTCAAGCTGAAGTCCAGTCTGACATCAGACAGACCCTTCAGACAGTCGTTGGGTAAGATCATGTCCATACATGAGCTCATTTTAATATTTTTATTTTCTTACAGCATCACAGCAGATCTTCAGCTGGAAACAATTAATAAAGAGAAATTCTGACTCTGCTGCTTTCGTTTACAAATCACAATCGCTATTATCACAAACCGCCCACTGGCCAAAGGCTACTATTTGTGTACTGTTGTGTAAGCAAAATATTTCATAAACCAATGGATGGATTTCATTGAAACTATCAGAACATAACTATTTAACTTATATCTATATTAACATTTGGGGTCAAACTCATTCAAGATGTCTGCCATGGCTAATAACAAAATGGTTATAAGTCAGTAATTTTTACAGATATTGACAGAGTGGTAGTAACTGGGACTCATCTCCAACACATAATCAAGCACTTACAGAGCTTGTTAAATTTCAACATTTGAACAAAAATGCTAAAACTATCATTTTAAAGATGAAAAAAAAAAGTTTTTGCTCGAAACTCTGGCATAAAATATGCATCCCTTTAAGAAATGCTCGACCTTCAGTTCTTTCAAATTCCGTTCAGTGTAGAAATGTTTCTCACTTCTACTCATAGACCTTACATATGTTTCAGCTGCTAGAAATTCAAACTTAAAATAAAGTTTTTAACATGAATCAAACACGCCTTGTCTTGTTTTTATGGTCATAATTTCTTTCACTTGTTGCAACATCTTCAACAACACACACGCTCTTCTTCAGTACACAATATATAGTCAAGTACAGTAGTCCCTCATTTATCACGGGGGGATCCGTACCCTGAAGTTCCACGATAAGTGAAAAACCGCAAAGTAGGGATATTAGTACAAGTAGTAATTACTAGTTTATTTTAGTATATATATATGTGAAGGTGTTTTAAACCCTTCCTCTTGTTTCTAAACTCTAAATCCTCTAAAAGAGCAAATAATGTCATCATTTCAGCTCCCTGCTTCCTCTGCTCTTCACCACCTGCAAGCGCTCTTGGCCACGCCCACTTCTCTGGTTTGCACGTTGAACAGCTGATCAGCTGCAGCAGGAAGTTTATCCTGCAGTATGGGCTGCACAGGGGTGCAGCAGGTGCTAAATCATTTAAAGTAATTTATTTTAAATAAAAATTCCATGCAGATCGTGCGGCTCATCCATCAATCAGCCAATTGTGTGTCATGCCCAATCTTATTTTGAAAAACCGCGATAGAAAATACATACTGATACAATGGATGTGGGGTGAATGCGGTCGGGCTTCATCAGTCGATTTGAAACTTTAAATAAAGTGATTTTTGTGACTTCACAGCTTTAAAGTGATGTCTGTGTCGCTGTTGTCAGGCTACAGATAATAAATATGACAGATCTTAATTAGAAAAAAATATTATGTTTTGATGTCTTCTCATTAGCCAGAATTCATTAAAAAAATAATGTCTCTGCTTTATTTCCCTGAATGTATGCTCAGCATCCAGAGCTGCCTCCACAGACAGTCTGCAGGATTTAGAGAAACGAGCGTGCGGCAGCACAGTCGCTCACTCATTAGTGCGTGTTCATAAACCCGACCCAGTGGCAGCAGACTGTGCTGAATCCACCCAGGCTGGCAGAACCTCTTCCATGGCAGCAGAAAGCAGATCCAGACTCGGTCCAAACCAGTCTCCAATAACGAACAACAGATTGCTATGGGAACAAGGTCGTTCCAGTTATTACCTTGCTGGACAAACAGCAAGTGAGAAGTGAGGTTTAAAGCGGGAGCGAACATATGTTGTTTTACATTATCCGACCCTCATGTTTATTTTCAAACTTTAATAACAGTTGCTTTTTTATGATATATGTGGCTTGGTTATGATGAGCTTATGAAAAATCAAATATCGTTCTGTATATTTCTGCGCTGTAGTCTCTCGTGACTGAACTGTTTCCTCTCCACTGGATCAAATGTATACGGAAACACCACAAGATGAGGCGTCCACGCTGAGAAACGAGTTTTATGGAGTTTTCTGTGCGGCGACTGCACTTTGAAGTATTCGTCCCCACTTCCTGTAGAAGTTCTGTCCAAGCTGAGCTTCAGGAACACAGCCTCCATAAATCTGGAAGTGAAGCACACCATAAAATTATTGTTGTGAAATAAAATTTGTCACCTCCTGCTCTGTGACGTTATGATAATAGAAATTGTCAGAGGTTTGTAATCAGGGAAAACAAAGCAATCTGATAGGTGTCCCCTCATGGCCCCCCTCCCACTGCTGCACCTCCAAACAATCACCCTAGGGTAATGAAAGTGATAATGGTAATCTTTACGGCCCACCATGCCAGCTCAGGACACCAGCGACCCCCCAACACTGATTTAATTAGCTTTCCGAGTCCTCTCCTCCTGCCTGTCTTTCATCAGCGTTGGCCTTATAAACTATTAATGGCCTCTTTGGCAATTTGGCTTGATCACTCATAGCAGTCGGCTTCAACTCGCCTGAAAACGTTTGAAGAGATTAGCAGGAGGGAGGGACATGCCTGCCTGCAAAATATTGGAATAAACCACATTCTGGTAGGCAGGAGGGGTGATCAATCTTAATCAGAAGAGCTTTATTATGGTCTGGGCACCCAGTGAGAGGATCAGGGTTGACTTTTGTGTGATGATTCAACCAGTTCTTGGCAGTGGGGCCCACAGGCCAATTAACAGCAGTGACACGTTTGTTGTGTTTGTGTAATGAGGTTGTTTCAGGTCATCAAGCCCCAGAACAGTCCAGAGGATTGATATTTACAACACAGATTCACACATTACTGCGATGAACTGGAGCTGGCGAAGGAACTTATCGTGGAAACTTTGCTCAGTTCAAAAAGCAAAACGAAGCAAAAAAATGTAGATACGTTTCGTCTTTCATCCGAAAGACTTCCTCAGTCTTTTTGAATGTCCGGAGGACCAGATTGAACTTTTCAGGAAACGGTACAGAAAAGTCAACAGGTCCAAGTCAAACATCGACATGTGATTTCAAATCGTGCTCTTTTCATTAAACCAATTCCATTAGAGCGGAATTCAAACTTTATACATTCAGATGCACATTAGATCACAAACTCTTCATCGTCTTCTTCTTTGTCTTATTTGCCTTCTTCTTCTTCTTGGTCTTCATCTCGGTCTTCATCTTGGTCTTCTTCTTGGTCTTATTCTTGGTCTTCATCTTGGTCTTCATCTCGGTCTTCATCTTGGTCTTCTTCTTGGTCTTCTTCTTGGTCTTCATCTTGGTCTTCATCTTGGTCTTCATCTTGGTCTTC